CGAATTTCCACAACACACAACTCACTTAGCATACACCCCTTTTTCGCCCAAGAGCGTCAAATAATCCATTCGACTTCAAAGTAAACACATAAAATAGAAATTGGAATGTCGACTCACCTTCAGAAGACACAGAAATCGAAAGTAACAGAGGAGGCTGCACACATATGGACAACGCATCAAACGACGATACCGAGAAGTTGCACGTTGGCAGGGGCGCGATAGAGACAACTGACTGAGGCGTCTCAACAGCCAGATGGGCGGTAGTATAGGTTACATCCGCGGTTACGGTAGGGTCAGAAGACGGCTGGGAGACTTGAGGAGGAAGTACATGTGACATCTGAACGGGAGAATGGGAAGAAGAGGGCAGAGATGGTGACACGGCAAAAGTTCCAGTAGCTAAAGAAAAGAGAATAAGTCAGGAGTACTTTAATGAGAACGGCACTGGCAAAGAGATATGGGAACCTACAGACGTATGCAGTCGTAGACGTTTCAGTTGTCTCCTCAGAGGGTTGTTGTGATTGTGACGGTGAAATGACGACAGTGTTTAGTTCTAGCAGATGATCTGCCACTGCTGCCACAGGTTTGGGAGGAGGGGGCATCTGCGGTGAATAAAGAAAACTGCAATAATGAGCAATCCCAATTGCCAAAGATCCAATACTTAAATGATTTCTAAAATAGTTATGGAATTTCAGCACCGGAAAGGCAATCAAGCCTCCGTATATATGCCTTTCGCAAGTCAAAGTATATAATTATACTTACTAAATTGACTTGAGACTCTTACCAAGAACATACAATTTCAATGATACCGAGGGTTTACCAAACTCCTAGATAAATTTACTTATGCTAAATATATTTCATGCCATATGTTCCTCGTCTGCGACTAGATACTAGATGATGCAGAGGAATCATGACAAGAGAATCCTTAAAGTCATCGCTGTCAAAGAAAACCAAGGGCCACAAGAGTAGGGATACTGATCTTGCATTGGCAGCTTGCACCTCATAAGGCATTTTACTGCGTCTAAGCGATTCCGCATCAGATAAATGCGGCCCTCTCTAGTGCCAAGGAAGAGGAGTAAAGAAGGAATGTAAGCATAAAATCGCAAAGTGCTTTACAATAGCCAAATGCGCGGATTTCAATGCGATACGACCACAATTCCATGAGGCATATGCATGGCCACCGAATACCTATCGCTGCAATTACAAATAAAGCAAAGGTTCCACCTAGAGAGAGCTTAAGAAGGAGGGTGGGGTCGACACAACTCAAAAGAATTCCACCATAATAGTAGAGTACAATGCCAGATTTCTCAGAAAACAGTACAAAAGCAATACAATCTACGAGCTCTAGAACGATTTTAATAGGCAAACACGAATGGACACCAAACATAAGATCTGAACGGGACGAAGCCCGATGTCATTATAAAACGATGCAAAGGACACCAAGTTCATATGATACACGTAACAAAAGATAACCTACGCTTTCAACAATAAGAGCCTCAACTTTTCTCGAGATAGTTTCCAATTTTCGAATCCGCTTGTGTAATTCTTGAGTCAATTTCTTCAAGCAATTAACTTCCTCAATTGACAGGGACACCATATTGAGTAGTCCTTTCACAGCCTGTGTAATTGAACCCTGAAGTTTCAACTTAATCGTTCCTTTCAGACGCTCCAATATTACGGGGTCCTGCAATTCGACTTCAATTGTTGTCTTTGGGACAGCCTCGATACTCGAACCAATGGGAATTTTCGATGTATTCGTTGCTTCGACTCCACCCTTACATGCTAAAAGAAGCCCAGTACAGTTGGCTTCGAGAAGCATTTTCTTCCTCAAAGGTTCATTCACATCAGCCTCGTGTTCGGAGCTTCTATCCGCGTGTGCTGGCATCTGCAACAAGTTTGTTTGATTCGAAAACAAGTTATCAGAAGAAGTCATTCTAAGGAGACCCGATTCATGCTCTATTACATACAGTACACGGAATCAAACAGAAAATATTCATAAAGAATCCAAGGAACGCCAGAAGCACAATTGAACAGAATCACTCAACAATGAAGTACACACTTCGCGGCTAGCTTTAATTAAACTTTTATTAATTTAAACAATGTTTAAATAATTGGTTAATAATTACAATTACTAACGAGCAAAAAAGGGCTCTTAAAACAAGTAATAAGCATAAAAAGTGCATTATTAAACAGTAGGCATTTTGACATTCCGACGTGATCATGCCGTGTTACAAGCAATATGCGTACATCAGTTGATTTTACAGACACACTTTCTAAATTACCTATCGAAAACAAGTACCTGTTAACTGAATTTTACAATGCAAGTGTTTGATTTTCGAAGATGATGCACTTTGTCATATCAATTGCGAACAGCCGCGAGGAATTAAACAGGCAGATAAAGGGATAACATTCGAAGGGATAAATGTAGCTACTGCCTGTCTACTCCTGGTCCCTGGTTCTCAGACTTTAAGAAAGAGTTGGCTGTGAACGGTTTATTAGGCATCTCCGTATGAAGAATGGGGAAATAAAATGCAGATGCGGTGAGCAGGAGATGTCAATCGCAGGGAGGCTCCTCGTCGACCTCGCGACGTGATCCACGTTTCCAATCCCTTTCCGCCTCTCATCCATCAAAGTCCACTTAAACAAACTAGAGTATATTACAATAAATGCATTCTAGAAAGAACGGATAAAATCTTAGCTGGCCAAAAGGCCTACCCATGCGTGCAAGGATCAGACGAAAACGTGAGCAGCCGCCAAATATCTGGCGGTCCCACAAACAATGTAGTTCGTTGCTGCCCTCCGTGTTTGGGCGACGTCTTCGGTGCTCCTTTGGTACACATTCCGCGCCAGGAAACACAACTTACCTAGCACCACAAGGAAACACCCATGAGCCAGTTAGTCGCGTCAGTTGTCAGCCACCGAGAGCTCCAAATGAACCTGGAGTTGCGTTCAATCTGAGGACTGTAATCGTGACGAGGAAGTTTTGTCGACTCTCCACTGCTTCCATGGCTAAACATTGGAACACTGGTCCAAAACAGAAGCTTAACAGGGGTGACGGATTCAAACAGTCCTGTATGAAAGAGGATTCGTCGTCGTATCATCGCCGACCCCTATACTCGGGTGCAGTAAGGAGAATTTCTAAACGAAACTTTTCGAGGTGGTTGGTGGTGATGTCACTCCAATTGTCAATAGCTTGTTTGTGGAACACAAAGACGAGTGGAACTTAAAGCACGCATCATTCTCAACCTTTCTATTATGAATAATTCAGACTATTTCCTATCCGAAGTATACGCATTTCCTCCCCACCATCGATATGTGTCACGGACGGTGGATACCCGGATGGAAGTCGTTAAAAATAGTCGGTTTGCACTCCACTGCCACAATTGTAGTGCCCCAGGGCTTTCCATTGGGTAGGAGAATGCACCACGATGGTCGAAATGAATGTATTCTAAGAAGGGATTGGACCTTGATTTGGACCGATGGCCAACTCACGATTACAAGTACAAGTCAAAGCAACAAGAATGCGCACTTAACATCAAGCAGTCGTATAACCCAAGCATAACTCTAATGTTATTTAAGAATGTTCTCCAGTTTCTTGTGGTTAATATCATATTCATCAGGTTTTTTCAAGTATTTTAACCTTTGGGCTAAGCTTGAACTTAATCCATTATTCCTTTCAGAAATAAATTCATCTAGCTTTACTTAACGTTTTTTCTTCTTGGTAGGAGGTCGCTATTTACACTAATTACATTATAGTTTTAATGTATACTAGTTTTTTAAAGTTGGCTTTTAGAGATGAGAAGCGGGAACCAATTGTGAAAGAGAATCGCAAGCCTGGGTCCTACTCACCTCATCTGCATTTTATTCCTCATTCTTTCCGTAACAAATGCCTAATAAATCATCTACAAACAACTCTCTCTTGAAGTCTGAGGTTCACGGACCAGAGTGTGAACAAGCAAATCTCACAATAGCATTTGCAATTGCGAGTTTCATAATCGTCAAATACGCAAAAATTTTTTTCTAAGTGATTTTTATAAGTAAAGCCTGAATCGGCGATAAAGTGATTTTGATTGGCATTGCTATTAGTTTCTCGTGTAAGCTAAAAATGTGTGGTAAGATCTTTCGTCCCAAATATCTTTAGACAATTAAATTTTTGTGCTACACCTTTTTACATAGTACTGAGTCTCAGAAATCGATCTTTCCATTCACTGATCCCATGGTAACATCCTTTTCACTCTTTTACCCTATGCACAAGATTGTGTTGGTACATTTTCTGTTCACTATCTTTATTTGAGAACTCGAAACCCGGCCAGTAATTATTCAACATGCTTGGCCTCAGACATCTTGATTTTGCCGCTTCTCAGTCTAGTACAATTTCGTGTGTCTGGTAGCTTTCTAACCGGTGTTCCACTCGCAAGGTCTTCAAACATTTTTTATCTGCGTATAAGTGAAACAAGGATGTGAAGATCTCGCCTAATTAATCATTTTTTCATTTGACTTCGTTAGTTCTGGCATCTGTTGTTCTGAAAAAGGTTACCTGTTTTGAGATAACCAGGCGTTGTACTGTGATTTAGATGACTTTGAATGTCTCGTTCTTGATTCTTCTTCCTTTTGGTATCATTTTATGCTTTACACATTTTAATCAATGTGATATCAGTGGGCAACTTGCTTGTATTAATATATTTATCCCTGAATTTACGAGTTGCTCCATGACATAAATCGACATGGATTTTCACTTGTACAGCTGTGTTTACAAGGTTTTGAATTTATTAGCTCGCAAGCATTCCTTTTTTACCGTTTTAGTGCACTTTTCGCGCATTCGAATCATGTCTGATGTTGCCTTGAAATCTATTTCCATCATAATCGGAGGATTTTTCATCCTTTTTGGTGTTCTCAAAGTGGTACCTCTGTTCTC